CACATACAGACCGGCAAAGTGTCACAAAAGCCAGTGTTTTATAGACCAGAGTGATTACTTCTCTTCAAGTTCTAATTTAGAATCGGTGGTCGTGACATATCGGCTTGGATCTATCCGATAGTGTACGATCGAATACATATCATAGATCTGCCTAACGATTCGGCCGTTAACATGGATACTGTGCTTTTTCACGCAAGATTTCATGCTTTACATCGCTCATCGAGCTATACATGGTAAGTGTGGAGTAAGGGAAGTTGAAAGTGTGAATACGCGACTAATCCACCTCCGACTGCTGCTTTCGTAGGATTTTCATGTGGGATTTTGCGAAAGACGACTGGATGGAAGTAGTAGGTGGTCTAGTGGGATCGATAATTGCTATGCGACCAAACGTGCCCACGTGAATAACACTCAGATAGTGTCTCAATTGTAACACTTCACTTTACAGTAAGCCGCCATTTCATTCTAAAGAGTCAATGTAATCTGTCATATTGCAGTTTACAGTAAGACGCGAAATTTTCCCAACTAGTTTATGGATGGCAAACTCGGAGTGAAGCAGGACTTTGCTCAGTATAATGCAAACTACTTTCTGGGACATAGGGCGCACCCGGGTTTGATGCCCACCTTCGCTTCAAAGCCGGAGTAGCATGTAGCACTGCGTGTAGCATCAGAAAGCTAGTCCAAGTCCGAAAATTATTGAAAGGTTCCCTCAAATACTTTGGTTCTTGTCTGCGAACAAACCGGATCAAGTAATCGATTGATTACGTTGAGTAAAAAGTGTTCGGAAACCACATGAACTTGCAAGGTTGGAAGATCACTCTATTTGTTAAGCGCATTTCAACGGAAAGGCAGCGTTCATATTTCGTGATGACGCGCGACGACGCGCTGTAACGCGCTACGATTGCGACAGCGCTCCGATGCTATGACGCGAAAGCAGCCGCCGAATTGATCGGCACCCTGGCGGCCAGTGCTGATCGTTACTAGACCGCGTAATCAGGCATCGCATACCGTCTAGTGCCTTTTTACTCATAAAAACGGCGCCGTCGATTCCCGTTCGCAGCTGCGCTGACTTCTCTAGTATAGGAGCGCTGTTGCTATTGCTGTTATAGAGCGTTACAGCGTGTCGTTGCGAAGTGTGACCGCTGCCGATCACTTTCGTCAAATCCTAAAAGTTTCTGAACAGTCTATGATGACTTTTCCAAGAGTCTCTGATGCCCCACTGATGCTGGACGCCAGAACGAGGATGTCACCCAGTCATAAGAATTACTCCGGTCTTCGAGAGCACTAGTAAGCTGGCTGTTGGATCAGGTCTGATCACCATAAGGGATCCCGCTGAAAGGCTAGGCTTATGTAGGGTATCGACTTACGCGTAATAGTTAAGCGTTGTTACATTCAGTCGCGGAAGACCTACTCGACCACTATGCCAAGGTTTCGAAAGACTTCCTGGCGATTTTTGGGTAGAGCATGCATGATTGGAATGAAAGGAAAGGCAAAATATCTGCTCAAAACCATGTTACACTCTGACGCAAGAGTGAAATGATCAGTAGAATTTACGGTCCGAAACACAGCTGAGGGTGCTGAGTTCGCTGGCCTAGAGTATCACGAATCGGTGAAGCTGATGTCTGTACAAATTGGTAGTCATCAGACTTTAAGTATATGAGTAGTCTATTAGTGACCAAGAATCCAGGTGACTGCTAGCTAGAGGAATCGATAAAGGGAAGATTTATGCTACCTTCCCACGTTATGTGCTTATATGAGGTAACACTCGCGATCAGGGTGGTCTGGTCGATGTGACCGTCAATGGAGGACCTGAAAGTAGTTCTGGCAAATCATTCTGAAGAGATGTTAGCAATAAGCAAACACATCTGAAACAGAGTGGCATTTTGTTGTCTGAACATCAGTCAAATCTTAAAAGCACCTTCCGTCGTTATGAAACCAGTCCGTGAGAAATCCCGTGCAGATTTAAAGACACATGGTACGCTCAAACACATTGAGGGTGTATGAGACTATCAGCCCCCCAGCTGTCGATGTGTCGTGGTTTCCCCGCCCAAAACTGCACGGGGTCAGAGTACGGGACCGTGGGAAAGGCTTATTCCTTGCTACACCGCCCAA